GCGGCCGGTGGCTGGCGGCTGGTCGGTTGGTGGCTGGGCGGTGACAGCTGGTGGCTGCCTTCCTTGACCTTCTGGATTGAGTTTACTTCAACACTGCTCTCTCAAGATACGACTCATACTGAACAGCTAGGGCCACCTCCTGCACCAGTTTCGGCAATTGAAGCGTTGCCGGTGTTGAAAATCACTGAACAACATTTGATGAACGACATTCATTGTCCTGTATGTAAGGAGATATTTGAGGTTGGTGGTGACGTGATGAAGCTACCGTGCAAGCATTTGTACCATTCTGATTGCATTGTTCGTTGGCTAAACTTGCATAATACTTGCCCAGTTTGCCGGTATGAGCTGTGTGACGAATCTGACAAAGATCTTCCAGGTGAAAATGCTGATTTTTTTGTCTTTGAAGAGCTGACAAACAGCATAAATTGGCTGAGGAATCAGCTCCATTCTTTGCCGCCGATTCGTGCATTTTCTGATTGGACACAGCGATACCTTGATTTCTTAGACAATAGACTTGTTACTTCGCGTGGAGGTGAGTTTGGAATTTCCTTATGCTACTTCTTTCTTCTCTTTGTTTTCCTTATTTCTGGTTTCGAAAGGCTACATGTAATATTTCAGGCACTTTGCCTCTTTTAACTTGGGATCTTGATGGAGGAATTAATAGAAAATTAAGCTCAAGCATCTGGAAGACATATTTATTTTATATATTTATTTTTATCTCTTTATCCAAATATATTTCTTATTTATTTTTATCTCTTTATCCGAATATATTTCTTTCTTTTCTATATATATATTTTTTTGTGTTTTGGAACACTGACTAAACACAAAATATTCTCTTATATTGATGTGTTGGTTGTGTTGATGTATATTTTCACGCATATAATTTCCAAAAAGAAAAGGAAATTCAGAAAGAAAATTCAAATTGATCAATTTCTTCCCTCTAATAGCTTTTAGAAATTACACAAAAGTAATTTGGAAGATTTGTATCTAATGTTTAACTAATTATGTGCTGATGTTTCCTGCAGCCGGCTCTTGGTGGCGTTCTTGGTTCATTTTTTAACTCTGAATTCCAAATGCCTCCCAGCTTTAAAGCTGTACATATTAGCCTCATAATTGAATCATTTCTTAGGCAGGTATGTCCATCTACCATTAATTTTTAAAGGTAGCAGGGATGAAAGATGTCGAACCAGCTTACCAGGTTTGTGATACGTACATTTCTTTATTTTTCTACTTTGATGTCCTTAAAATGCCTCCATTTTCCTAACCCAAGTTTTTGTTTCTTATTTAGCAGTTGCAAAAATGACTACATCTGCTAAAAGAATAGTTCCATTTGTTCTAATTAATGTTTTTCTCTTCTGTCAATTGTTACATTTTCATACATATTAAAAGAAAAATATATGCATGGTTCTAGGTGAAGGAGGATCTTCATGTTTGATCTTACTAGCGTGATCAAGGTTGGGAGAATGAAGAGAGTTTGAGAAAGAGAAGCCTTGAGAGTTGGCTGTAAAAACAAACATGTTATCACTGTAATGCCATTGATAGAATCAATGGTAGAGCTACCTTAAGACCAGTAGGGGCCTTCACCCCTTTGGATATATATATATATATATATATATATATGCTTTGTGTAAAATAATTTGAAAGCTCTATATATCCATGCCATAAGATCAGAAATATCCCATAAGCAATATGTAATGGTTTTTGCTAATAGGTTCGCTTGACCTTGTAGCTCGAAAGGGGGCTCCGCTGTGGAGCTTAACCACCTAATTTGTTGTTAGATTCACAACCCTACACTACTTATAAAGCAAGAAACTCTCTAAACTAGTGCATTTTTAACTCAGATTATAGTCTAGCAAGTAAAATGTATACCCATGAACGTTATTGACAAGTATTCTCCAGATAACTTAAAGAATACTACATATCCCAACATATGAGCACATGAAGACGACGTATAGAGGCTATGTGAAATTAATAAAAAACTAGGTCAAAACTTGTAATTGTTGTCCATTATATCAAACAAAACAGTTTTATTTCTTCTTAAACATGTACAAGAGGTGTAACTGCAGAAGTATGATGTCAAATTAAGCATGGAGGTTATGGCAAAAGATAAGTTACAGTAAAACATTTATAACAGCACTTATTAATTTGATAAAAAACTGAGTTCTTGGTTGAAATTTGTTTTTGTTTCCAACATATATAGTCGCTTCTCTTGAAGGGAACAACATATACATTATAGACAAAGTATTAAGATCTTTGATCTTATATCTTAGCTTTTGTAGCTTTCGGTTGTGTACTTTCCACCAAACTAGCCAAAAGCTGCAAGCAGAGTACTCACCATTTCAAAAAAGATTACATTCACGTTTTCAAGAGTTGTTAGGCCTCCTAAAATGGCTACAAAGTTTGGCTTATCTGTTTTGTTCATAAGCTTTTGCTCATTGTTTTCACCAACATTGTCATCTATCACCTATAATGAGATAGATTCATGGTGCAGCAAAACCCCACACCCTGAACCATGCAAATACTCCATGAAGCAAAACCCAAACCACTTTATACCTAACCAAGAATTTGAGTCTCGTAAAGTGGCAATCGAATTAGCCTTGCAGAGTGCTCTCACTGCTCAAAATCACCACCAGCGGCTATGGCCAACATTACGCATTGAGAAAGAAAAGAATGCATGGAAACATTGCTTAAACTTCTACAACAAGACCATCGATGAACTCATCCTCGCCCTTGCCTCTAACATAAAATCCACCAATTTTAACACCCAGACTTGGCTTAGCGCTGCGTCAACCTATCTTGAAAGTTGTAAAGACACAATCAATGATCTAGGGGTTTCAGGCTCTATGTTATCTCTCATGATGTCTAACAATGTTTCGAAGCTAATAACCAACTCTTTGGCTCTACATAACAAAGCCTCATCAGTTTTCCCTCTAACAATGTTTCGAAGCTAATAACCAACTCTTTGGCTCTACATAACAAAGCCTCATCAATTTTCCCTCAAAGTTATCAAGATGATTTTCCTACCTGGGTTAAATCAGCTGATAGAAAGCTCTTGCAGGAACCTTCACCATCTCCAGATCTTGTGGTGGCGCAGGATGGATCAGGTGATTACAGTATCATAAAGGCGGCACTTGAAGCCGCAGAAAAGAGTAGTGGGAATGGGAGGTTTGTTATATATATTAAGAGTGGGGTGTATAAAGAGTATCTTGAAATTGGTAAGAAACTTGAGAATATTATGCTTGTTGGTGATGGAATGACAAAAACCATTATCACTGGGAACAAGAGTCTCGGCGGAGGTGTTGACACCTTTCACACTGCAACTGTTGGTAAATCTCTTAACTCTTTCTTTGTCTTAATTTAAGTGCAAACAGCCTTTTTCTTATCTATTATCTGTGAAAATCACGACCAATGTTAACAATTTGATGAATCCTCAGGGGTCGATGGTCAGGGATTCATTGCTCGGGACATCACCTTCCAAAACACAGCTGGTCCACAAAACCATCAAGCTGTAGCCCTTCGATCAAGTTCCGATTACTCTGTCTTCTACCGTTGTGGTTTTGAAGGGTATCAAGACACCTTATATGTCCACAGTAAAAGACAGTTCTATAGGGAATGCTCTATCTATGGTACAATAGACTTCATTTTTGGAGATGCAGCTGTTGTCTTACAAAATTGCATGATATATGTAAGAAGGCCATTTGGTAGCCAAAACAATGTTATAACAGCCCAGGGCAGGTCTTGCCCCTATACTAACACAGGGATTGTAATCCATAATTCACAAGTATTTTCTGCAGAAGACCTTGGCTCATCAAAAACATACTTGGGAAGGCCATGGAGGAAATACTCGCGTACAGTTTTTCTCTCAACTTATCTTGATTCTTTGGTGGATCCGGCAGGATGGCTTGAGTGGGATGGTAATTTTGCCCTAAACACTTTGTATTATGGAGAGTACAAGAACACCGGACCTGGAGCTTCGACTAGTGGAAGAGTTAAGTGGCCTGGTTACAAGGTTATAACTAGTGCAGAAGAAGCATCAGAATTCACAGTTGCAAACTTCATAGGTGGCCGTTCATGGTTGCCAGCTACTGGTGTGCAATTTGCTGCCGGACTTTGATACTATTGACAGTTCCCTGCACTATATATTGATTGGTTCAATGCTAGTTCTCTCATTTTCAATAAGTGTTGTGGCTGGATGCATTGGCATCCATGAGGGCAGCCACATTCATAAGAGTGAATTACTTCAAACCTTGTTGGTTCTTCTCCTCTGGATGCATTGGCATCCATGAGGCCAGCCACTTTCGTAAGAGTGAACTACTTCAAACGTTGTTGGGTTCTTCTCCTAATTTTCTAGCAAAACTAAATGCATGTAGCTCCATGTATGGAGTTTTTGAGACATTTTTACCCCCACTGAGCTGTGAAAACTTGATTGTTAAATGAACATAAACGAGCATGGATTTGTTGAGTTAAAAATCAATTGTCCCGGAATCACATATACTGTAGGTTTGTGCTGTTCTTACTTTCCTTTTGGCCTTTTAAACACAGAGTTAAATATTAGCAATTAATTTGTTAGTACTCGAAGTTGAATTCTATTTAAGTTTATTTTCTTGTTCAAGTTCCTTAAAATAAAAGGAAAACAAAAGAGCGTTTTCTTAAATGGTTCTTCAAGCTTGTTTGAAAAAATTACCTTTTTCGAATTCTTGTGTTATGTTGTGGCTGAGATGTTTTGTGGGATAAAAGCATTACTTAGTAACCAGTGTTGTACTAATAAATGTTTAAAGGAATTAGTATTTGATTAAATTCTATTTCTTTGTTTTTAAGATATAAAATTAATGACCAATAAGGATTATATTTAAAATATTTAAACAAATACATTTCATTTATATAAAATAATCTATGAAATATTCTTAAATTTACATAGCATGTTAACATATTTTTTATGAAAGTTATTATTAAGTTTAAAAAATATATTGAATAAGGTAATAATACATATAGACAATTCAATTTCAATAAAACCAACGTGGAAATAAAATTATGCCAAATACCAGCATACTTTGTATATATAGTTTTTATTAAAAATAAAATAACGAAGAAAGTTGTCAATTTTAATAAAGAAAAATATAGTAATACCAGAAATGCATATAATAAATTACAATTTCCATTCAATAGAGTTAATAACGGGAACTTAAAAAATAGAAAAAAAACTGATTTCTTAATTATTATTATTATTATTATTATTTTGAAAAGCAAAATAAGCCTATAAAAGGCAGACAAGGGATCGTAAGGGCTGTAAGTCATAAGGAACAGAAATCTACAACGAAGAAAGCAATCAAGGCTAATCAAGGCTCGAATATATAGCACAAGAGAATTAACAAATGATTTCTTAATTAATTAACACTTATAAATAGTCCTTTCTTGAATAGACTAACATGCTATGGATCAAGCATAGCATGGGATTTAACTCTTATTTTATTTTTTGTAGTATTAACTTCGGTTTCTCTTCCTTTTACTTCACATGAAGTTTTTTCTTTCTTTTCAGAAGTAATACATATATATTTTATTTTTCACAAATAATTTCTTAGTAGTTTCAAGAAATTAGTTGAATTTATTCTTATATATATCTTATAGTACTCTAGTTATTACTAATTTATGCTTATATTTTAGATCATTTTTCAATCTATCCTTTCAATAAATATTGTTATCCAAACTTGTATAAATTACCCATCATGAGAAATCCAAACCCAGCCTTATATAAATTCAAATGGAAAGCTTATATTATGCAAACAGGGCTGATGTGTGTGTGTGTGTGTGTGTGTGTGTGTGGACTATCTAATTAATTGGTAATTAATCCATTCTCAATTGGATCTCTGTAATGGGTGAGGTGTTTTCGGAGTGTGGGCATGGGAACATGGGCCTTATTTGGACAATAAGTTAGATTTAATGGCCTGAACTGACTTAATTCTAACAGGGTTTAATAAGCCCATCTCAATTCTAGGGCCTTTGACTTTGACATTGATCCACCCCACTAAATATATCCACAAGCCCATCTTGAGGTAATAATTAGACAAATCGGAAAGCAGAGGGAAGGGGGAACAGAACTGGCTCAAGGTCACAGATTATATTTTTTAATATTTAATTAAATATATTTATATTAGGGTTTTATTTATTTATTTACATCAATTAACTGATATGTTATTATAGAAACTATGACAATTTTATCTTGGTGTTTAGGTATGTAGAAATTTTGTAATATAGAGGAGCTGTCATTCCGTCCCTTCCAAAAATGAATAATAATAATAATAATTAAAAGCCTAGTTAATCTCAAATCTGTCATGCAAGTTGATTTGGTGACTTCCAACCTGGAAAAAGTTTCAAATTAAATTAAATATAATTTGATTGATATGAAAAAAAGATAACATGTATTTTAGTTAATTAAATAAAATCTTGTTTGGTTTTTTTAAAATGATATAATTTTAAATTTATATAGTTTAACTTGAGCTAACTCAGTAAATTTATAATTAAAATTTATGGCTCAATCAGTCAATTTAAAATCAAAATTTATGGCTGAATTAGGTTGATAACTTTGATATAAAAAATTCAAATTATATCAATATTAAAAAGTAATTAATTTTTGCTTTGATATGATTTAATTTAAGTTTGTTTCTTGATTTATTATACCATTATATACAAATGTAACAACATTGCCATATAAACATAGATTTTACACTATTTTACAAAAACTGTAGTACTCATGAATGATATCATTTTCCATGTAAATCTTGGGGTGATTATCGAGCTAAATAGAGCGAATTAAATAAATCAATTGATAATTGTGCTATTCTTTTTCATTAACAATATATCATTATTTATCGAGTGAGCATGACGTTTTGCTTCCAGTTACTAAATATTATCACCATTTTTCCAAGTTCATCATTTAACAAGTAACTAGCTCAAAATAATTAGTATCCAGCACGATAACCAACTAGCTACAATTAGCTGTATATCATTGCGACACACTATACATTTTAGACAGTAATTCTCTAGATAAGCTGTAATTATGATCTTAATCATGTCAACTTCCACTCTTTTAACCTTTTATTTGTTCCCATTTCGTATTATATAATTATATTTATAAGTTATAATTACAGATTATTATTTTGAGGGTGACTTATAAACCATAATGCAATCATAAAGTCACTATATATATAAAAATCCCTTGCTCTTTTTAATTTATAGTAAATAAAAAATTAAGCCCTTTTTTTCTGAGATGAATTAATGAAAAGCAAAATTAAACGATTAATCTGGCTAGTTAAATCAAGGTGTGCCTAATTCTTTGAGAGGTAAATGGAGTTTTTTTAAATAAAAATATTTTAGAAACCAATATAGTTGAGAAAATTTTAGAATGTAATACACTTTTATTGGTTGCTCTGTCGTCTTTGAGAGGTAAATGGAGTTTTTTACAACTAATTAACAGTGTAATAAAAAATTCTTTTTAATTGTGTTAATTTCAACTGCAATCCAATAAAAATATGATAGTTCTCAACATTTTTCCATAAATATACTCAGAATCTCGGCGCACTTCACAACTTGGCATCCAAGTTGGAGCTCGAATCAATCATCGCCATAACCTGCTGACTATAGGCTAAGGTCCATTGTCAGGTAGACTAGGGTATAACACTATAACGCCGCTTATAATGCATGCATGTGATGGAAAGCCAAGAACATACCTTGGTAATAAAGGGTGTCGACGGTGTGTTGGAGATGGTGATGAATGTTTTTTTATTTATTTATTTATTTATATTTAGTTTTTATATTAATGTCAAAATTATATAAAAAACATTAAAAATATTTTTTAAGTTAAAAATAATTTTAAATAGTTAGAGAGTGTAGATTCATATCTTAAGCTGCCCATATGTACAATTTTATTTTTTTTATAGAACGAGCAAATTTATTAAGAAAATTAAAAGGCCAAATTACAGAAAAAGGTTGAAAGCCAGAGAGCTGGAGAACCATGTCAACGCCGCATTACAAAAAACAGTAATTTCTCAAGTTACTCTCATAGCTATAACATTCATCATTTAATCAAAATTTTATATTCTATAGAAACATTTACTCATCATTTGATGATTTGACACTATTTTTTATAATTTACTTGGATCTTCGCTCCAATGACGTAAAACTACCAGTCACCTTTCAAGAAAGAAATACCCCTACCCCTTTTTTATTTATTTTTATTTTGAGAATATATTTAAAAGAATTATTGTTAGTGGATCATATATATTAAGAAATTGGTCCCAAAAAAATCTTCGCATGAAAGAAATATCCGATAAAAAGGATGCAACCTAAAATATTGGTCCCAGTTACTGCCAATTGGGACCATGATCAAATTTATAATTAAATAATTCATAATTATCATTGCACATATAGACTTCAGACAAATATGAATGTTCACTAGATTTTATACCGACTGGCGCCCCTTTCTAGCTAGCTTTGAAGAGGTTTATCCCTTTCGGAGGTTCGGTCTAATAAACAAAACATTTTGTTGGACCCAGAGACTTTTTCTACCACTTTCTTATTTTAATTACTTTTTTTTTTTTATCTTCTGTATAAAATCTGGTGAGCTGTCCTTCTTTCAATTTCTATACAGTACATGATTATGTAGAATTTCTCTATCACATATGGCCTACCCCGTGTATTCATACCCTATGCTTTGAGTATATCGTACTTCTGGCAGGTATACGTTATACTCCTAGATATTTTTTGTGCTTTTGATTCCAAAGCTGCCCTCATATATAGTTGAAACAAGATGAAGAGAGAATACACATACTGAAAATGTCTGATTTATGCCTAAAGGTAATCTAATAATTACCTCTACATGTACAAAATAATTTCCATGTTGAAGGTTATTTGAAGCAAAAGTAAATATTAAATATTTATTGGTAGATTTAAATATTTAATATAAGGTCTCTAGTTCAAATTTATTTCTTAAAATCCAGGAAAGAAAAACGATTTACAAACCTTCAAACTTTTTTTTAATTTCATATTTATAAAATATCACAAAAGGGTATTTTAAAATTAATTATATAATAGACTTGCTTAGATCTTTTTGTCTATAATAGCTTCCAAAGTTAAAAGACATTTACGTATGATCAACAAGAGATTGTC